GTGCGCGCTATCTGTCCCTGGAGATCTGCAGACCAAGGTAGCGATGCAGCTCTCCTAGGTCAGTGCAGGTGTGTCTCCGTAGCAGCTCAGCCTTCACGGAGGCCAGTGCATTTCTATTTGCAATAGCGAATACCAGATCGTCTACGTAGACAACGATGTAGAACGGGGTCCGGCCTGAACCAACGAAGAGAGAAGGGTCTACAGACGATGGGGAAACTACAGGTCAACTAATGTAGCACATAGCATGTCGTGCCACTCACGAGACGCCTGCCGCAGGCTGTAAACCGGGCGCCGGAGAAGCCACTCGGTCCTAGTGAAGGTGCCAATGAAGCCTGGCGGACGCCGCAGGTAGACCTGCTCGTCCAGACTGCCCAGGAGAAACGCTGTAGAGAAGTCAAGGGAGTGCAGCTCATAGTCACGCTGTGCTGCAACATATAGCAGTGCCCAAAGAGTGGTCATCTTTGGGGTCGAGGTGAAGGTCTGAAAGAACTCAACACCCTCGAGCTGACTAAAGCCTCTGGCAACATAGCGCGCCTTGAAGGGCCACCGGCCATCGACTACGTTCACCCCAGATGGGGGAAATGCATCGACGTAGGTGGCATTGGATCTCCAAAATGCCATCTCCGTGTCCATGGCAGCTGTCCACTGAGAGGCCCAGGGTCCCGAGGTTGCCTTAGTGTAAGTGCGAGGGGTCAGAATGCCAAGGGCGTCTGGGTCACCCTCAGAGACTAGAAACATGGAACAGAGATGGGGAGCGGCCTCGGACAGGAAAGCTAGCTCCTACTGCCTATCATCCAGGACCTCACTACCAAGGGCACGAGCACCCCGGACAGACGGAGGACAAACAGGGTCAGAGACCACAGCTGTGGCGTAGTCAAGGCGGCGGGCAGTAAGCTTTTCCATGCCAAAGGCACGAAGGTGAGCGAGGCAGCCCCAGATGTAGAACGCAGACGCGTCACCAGGGGACCCGGTCCAAAGGAGGGTTGGCAAAACCCGCGGCCGCTGGGAGTGTGGCCATAGGTTTAACTGATGAACGAAGTAGCGAACAGCGAACGGCCACAGGAAATGTGGTGCACTGGCATGGATCATGGAGGTACGAGCCACCTCCATGACTAAACCGATGCATTGCTCAGCGACCCCATTGTGCTGCAGGGAGTCCGGCAGGGTGTACGATTGTGTGATGCCCTCCGCACGACAAAACTGGCCAAGCCGACCGAAATCGAACTCGCCGCCATAGTCGGAGTGAAGGCGCAGCACAGGGAGGCCACGGTGGACACGCGCAGCTACGAACCACAGAATAAGAACGACAGGCACGTCGACCTTCTGCTCCAGGGGAAACACCATAATGTAGCGCGTTTATTCGTCAACAAGCACTAGAAAGTAGCGCTCTCGATGCGGCCCAGTGACGGGAGTTGGGCCCCAGACGTCCAGGTGCAGGTTCCGGAGTGGCGAAGTGGTAGGGGGAAGCGAGGAGGAGTGAGGAGCACAGTGCAACCAGCCCTCGATGCAGGGCGTGCACAGCGGCGCAGGCGAGGGAGGGAGAGAACAGAGTGGTGAAGGGAGACGTAAGAGAAGACCGAGATAGAACATATAACGCAGACGCGGAAGTGCGGGCCGACCTGAGCGGTGGTGCGACAGCAGCGACGGGTGGGTGGGCGATTGACACGAGCAAGCCGCAACGACTTGGATAGACGTAGGCACCTGGGGGGACGCCCTCACCGCGGGGGACACAGTGTTCAGCATAAACAGGCGAGACACCGGGTCCCGAGGGAACGTGGTGAGGGGGGCACCTGTGGCGGCCTATGTACAGACCGTGTACCGCTTGTGACAAGGATACATAGTGGTGACGCCAAGGACGTGAAGAGAGCCGACACCAACTAGGTTCCTGGAGAACGAGGGGATGTGCAAGCCTGTAAGATAGCCCGAGAGAGCCGCAGGACAAGGAAGGGTAGTGGAGCAAGTACCGGACCCTCCACTGTATGTGTAAGTACCAGATTTGAGGAGGGGTTAACAAGCGCGACAGCTGCATGGGCGGCAAGCGGTGTAAGCGCAGTGTGGTCACGGAAGAAGCAGTCAGACGCACCACAGTAAAGCGTGAAGTAGAGAGCAGCAGTAGCGTCAACCGGTGGAGGACCTAGCGTAGAGCCAAGGCTAAACAAGGCAGGAGGTCCTACCCCCGATGCAGTAGGGGAGCCTAGAGTACACACAGTGGACACACCTACACTAGGCAACATAGGGTTATAAGGTCCGGTCACACTAGAGTCATCAGCATACATGGCATGCAATGCAGAGCGAATCTGATCCATATCCATCAAAGACCGGCACACGACGACGCAGGAGACTGGGCCAGTCGAGGAGGTCCTGCGCAGAGCCGAAGCGGAAAAGAAGAGGTCATCGAGGCGGCGGTAGCAGCGGGCGATGGTATGACCGGTACGGCCACACACAGTGCCACGACCAGACTGGAGCTGGTAAAGGCAACTCACAAAGCTGAAGTTGCCACTCGATGCCGAGCTGCGAGGGCCGTCACCGCTACCACCACCACCAGAGCCGTCGGTTCACCCTGGCGGGAGGCGACCCCACTGCTGCTGCTGCTGCGACTTCTGCTACTGCGGCGGCTGCTGCTCCTGCTGCTCCGGGGGATCAGCTCCGGTCCCCTCATCGGTACCGCCGGCACTCGCACTACCTCTACCACCACCGCCACCCCCACCACCCCTCTCTCTGCCACGCACCCCCCTTTGGCAACGGCCCTTACCCTGGTGAGGCTGCACAAAGGCCGCCGCAGTGGCGGTCTCAGCAGCAGGGGCTGTCTCAGCGACAGCGGCAGAAACATCAGAGTAAGTGCACTGGGAGGCAGCACATCCCTGGAAGATAGGGGCTGGCGCAGTACTGCCACACTGAGCGATAGTGCGTTGGCGGGTCTCTATCGCAGACAGGGTGGTGACAAAGGCAGTAACGGTGAGGTCATCTGGGTGCTGACTAAGGAAGTGGTCGCGGCCAGTGGCGAGGCGGTCAGGAAGGCACGTTGCAATGAGGTAAAGGGTAGCGCAAAGAGGAGGAGGGAATACAACGAGCTGGGCCTCAGTGCTAGCAGCGTCGTAGCTAGTCTCAAGGGTACGTAGATGAGTGGCAAGATTAGCGACAGTGGGGAAGAATGCAAGATTAGGGAATAGCATGGGGATGATCAGACGACTGGCAGAGGCAGAGAGGGAGTGGAATAGCGTGCGATGAGCGCATCCAAGTGCTCCTTCGCATTCGCTACTGCCGTAAAGTGGGGACGCTCCGATTGGGGAAGGGCGTGACTGACAGCAAGCTGTACTACGGCATCTCACGACTCTGAGATAGCGCGTGCAAGCTCAGCAGCGGCAAAAGCCTCAAGCTCAGAAGCCGTGGGGGCGTCAGAGAGGGCAGCAGGCGCGTCGGGGTAGGGGAGCTTATCGTCGAGATGGACGGCCAGGGAAAAGCCATCCTGGGGCTGACCCGTCAGCTGACGGCAAAGGTCGATGAGCCATGCCTCAAAATCGACCGCTCGACCCTCCGCGTTAAGGCGGAGCATCGCGTCCTCTATCAACATGGCTACGACAGCTCGGCGAGACAGCGGCACGGCGACATAGCGGCACGGCGGCATGGCGATACAGTTACGGCGGCACGACGGCACAGCGGCACGGTGAGCTGGGACGGCGCGGCTCGGTAAGGAGAGTCCCGTAGCGCGGCGGTGGCGCGCAGGGGCGGTAGGAGCTGGAGCCGGCAGTAGCTATGGCCGGCGCGAACTGGGGCCGACTCAAACTGGGGCAGACGGACTGGGGCCAGCGAGCTAGGGGGCAGCTAGCTAGCACGGGCCGACGAGCGACCACCGGCGAGCTGGGGCCGGCGAGAGGAGGCCGACGAGCTAGGGCCGGTGAGCTAGGGCCGGCGAGCTAGGTCCGGCAAGCGAGGGCTGGAGAGCGATGGCCGGCGGGCGATGGCCGGCGAGCTAGGGTCGGCTAGCGAGTTAGGGCCAGCGAGCTAGGGCCGGCGAGTTGGGGCTAGCGCGCGGTGAACGAAGGGCCAGCGGAGAGCTAGGAACCAACCACTTGCGTGTGGCCAGTGGGCGAGCGTGGGGCCAGCGGCGAGCGCGGGGCCAGCGACGAGCATGGGGCCAGCGGGCGAGCGTGGGGCCAGCGGTGAGGGCTCGCACGGCGCGCGCAAGGGCCAGCGGCTAGCGTGGGGCCAGCGGCGAGCATGGGCCAGCAGGCGAGCGTGGGGCTAACGACGAGCGTGGGGCCAGCGGCGAGCATAGGGCCAGCGGGCGAGGGCTCGCACGGCGCACGATAGGGCAGGCGCTAGGGACTAGGGCGACCTAGGGCGGAAGCGAGTGTGAGGGACCTAACCTAGCGTGATACCATCTTAGAATAACACATTGACTAAAATGGAGAGTACAGGGTGACTTTGTGTTAGTGAGTTGTACTCTCTAGGAGCATGCACCTATTTAGCCTATAATAACATATGCATTTGATGTCTGACACGAACCATTTCTTTCTATGTTTGATAAAAAAAACTAAAGAACACAGACAACTTTTACCAACCTAATTACAACGAAGTGAACTCTTGTGAAATGCCTTAATTCGTATGAAAATTGAATGGTATTCGTTCTCACAGGTTAATGCGTCCTAGTAATGAAAAAAAAATCCAGTTTCTGTTTGCAAAGAGTGCTATGCCATTTTACTAGATATGTCATGGACAAATGAAGTGAATTATTTATTTGCATCCGTTTTTCTCACTGTAGCTAATTTCATTCAGGAATGTTCTGGCCACTAAATCGTATCAGCTCTAGCAAGCCCTTCTACGTCAGTTTCTCATCGCAAGCCCGTCGTGAATCCAGTCAGAGAGGCATTCGGCGAAACGGATTGGCGGAGACGACGGCACCTGATTCGTTCAGAGAATTCCGCATTGGCGACAAGATCACTTCTGCGGATAAGGCTGTGCCTGGTCAGCATCCCATCAGGGAAACCAGACACTCCTCCCACCAGGGAGAGCTGCTTGGAAGGAAAACTAGGAACCAATTTTACGCTCTGCAAGGGCAATCTGTGATCCTCGCCACCAGAGGAACCTCAGGATCCCAAAACTCTTCCTGAAATTTCCTCTAGCCTTCAGCCATGGCCGCTGCCGTCGCCAGCCGTGCCTTCCTTGCCGCTCCGGCTGTTGCCGTGAGCAAGGCCCAGACCAAGAGGGCTTTCTTCGGCAACATTGCCGGTCTGGCACCCGTTGCCCGTCGCTCCGCCCCCGTGGTGAAGTCCCTGGCCGTCAAGGCTGAGACTAACTACCAAGTCATTGAGCCCCTCAATGGCGACCCCTTCGTCGGTGGGCTCGAGACCCCCGTCACCTCGGCTCCCCTGGTCGCGTGGTTCCTGTCCAACCTCCCCGGCTACCGCACTGGTGTGAACCCCCTCCTCCGCGGTGTCGAGGTCGGCCTCGCCCACGGCTACCTCCTCGTCGGCCCCTTCGTCTGCGTAAGTTGAACACATTTTGGTCCCGGTCTGGTTGGAATGGACCTCCGGATGTGTCCTAAATATTTTTTTCTCAATTTGTCGCACCGTTTCCTATGCAGACTGGTCCTCTCCGCGGCACTGAGATCGGCCAAGTCGCCGGTACCATGGGCGCCGCTGCTCTGGTGACCATCCTGTCCATGTGCCTGACCGTGTACGGCATCGCCTCGTTCAAGGAGGGTGCTGCTTCCACCGCTCCCTCTCTGACTCTGACTGGCCGCTCCAAGGATGCTGACAAGCTCCAGGTATATTCAGTTCCAGATTTCTCTTTCGCTTTCCGTCGAATGTCTGTTTATTGCCGTTTTGCTGCTTTGATTACTTGTTCTTACTTGTGTTTGCCCGCTCTTGCAGACTGCTGACGGCTGGGCTTCGTTCGCTGGCGGCTTCTTCTTCGGTGGCCTGTCCGGTGTTGCCTGGGCATACATCCTGCTCTACGTCCTTGACCTGCCCTACCCCGTCAAGTAAATGGAACAGCAACATGTATCTAGAAATGATATGAACATAGTAAAATTCATTTTTTATGCCCTATGGCCGTCTTTAGCTCAGCAAGTCAATGCAAAATGTTCACATAATAACCACCATAGGAAAATTAGTGCCACATGTTCGATAGTTATCGTCAGATTGTTGCAGTGAAAACCAGTGTAACAGTGGTAACCAGTAAATAACATAGCGTGAACGCTTTTGTGAGGAATTAGAGACAAAAGATTTCGAAGTGGGATCGAATGATGTCCGATGCACGGGTATGAACATCCCACTCTCCCTGACAAAGAAAATGAAATGATTCCGTAGCGGATAGGAACCTTCGCAGCTTAACATCAGGCATGAGCCGGGTTGTGCCGCCGGTCACCTTTGCCCGACAGCCGCTGGGCCATGGCGCTGGCGGTGGTGCGTCGGGCCGTGCAGCGCAGCGCAGGCGAAGCGCGCAGCGCAAGGCAGTGCGAGCTGTCGTCTTCCTCGTGATGCTCGCCGCCTTTATTCACCTGCTAGTAAGAAGTTCCTTCCGCCATAGCGCGTCGCGTCGCGTCGCGTTGCTACGCTACGCTGTCGTTACGCCACAGCTCATCCTGCTTCTATTCCACGCCGAATGATCTCGTGGTTCAGCAGCATGCAGTATCGCACATTCCATCCTGAGCGTTGAAGCGTCCTAGTCGCATTCCGTCTGCTAGATTACGGCCGTCACATTCCGCGTTGACCTGTTACGTTCTGCCTGCCCAAACCTGCCTTCGTTGACTGGCCTCAGGTAACGTCGCGCAGCCGAAGCGCGTCGCTGGCAGCTGAAGCTCTCAAGAAGCTGCACAGAGGTTCGTCCGCATCCCCCGCTGGAGGTGCTTCTCCCTCTGACACTGCCTCCTCGCGTTCGGCCCTCTCCCAGCAGCAACAGCAGCAGCAGCAGCCAGTGCAAGTATGTGAAGCTATAAAGAATACACAATGGCGGAAAGCCCACGGCTGTCATGGACATTGCGCATTGCATGGCATTCTCTCTGCTTGTCCTGATGCTCTCAACGTCATCGCCCGCGCCCATCATCTCAGTCTGTCCATTCCGTTTCTTCCTACACCTCAATTGCCTATCTATTTGCCTGTCTGACCCTATCTTCGCTTGTTCTCCCAACCATCCCTGCAGAAACAACCCCTGCTAACCAACCTGCCTCGCCTTCCCCCAGGTAAGCTTCCCTAGCTGCTGCTTGGTCAACTCCCTAAGGCATTGCACTGCTCTTGATTCCCTACTAGTCCTTCCTCTCCCGTGGTACCAGCTTCCCTTGCTCCCGTTTCCAGGCCCTCCCATCGTCTCCTGTTGCCCCCTCCTCTCCCAGCATCCATTCTCCTCCCAGCAGACGAAGCAGCAGCCGCAGGGGTTTCTCTCCCTTCCTTCCCTCCCACGAGAGAAGATAGCAGCAGCGCAGCATCACATGCATTGCAGGCATCGCAGGCATCCCAAGCATCTCGAGCATCACGAGAGGCTGGGCTCAACAGCACCAGGGTCGCACATGGAACTGACAACGACACCAGAAGGAGGAGGAGTAGCGGCGGAGTGGGCTCTATGGAAGGGCTAGGAGGCCTCGTGAGTGGAGTGGAGTTGTCGAGGGATGTACGCAGCGAGGAAACCCAGGGTGAGGAATCAGAGAGGGGCTCTGCTGTGGGGCTAGAGAGTGGTGAAGGTGGAGCAGAGGGGCACGGGATGGTTTCTGGTGGTGGTGGTGGTGGTGGTGGTGGTGGTAGGAGAGGGGGGATTGAGATCGGCGTAAGAGGGGGAGTGGTCGCAGCTGACGATGAGGATGCTGGGCAAAGAATGGGAGGAGAAGGAGAAGGAGGTATGGGAGGAGAAGGAGGAGTAGGAGGAGTGGGAGGAGGAGGAGGAGTAGTCGAACGAGCTGTCGAGGAAGGGCTTAAAAAGAAGGCGAAGCGAGGAGGGCGGGAGAGGGTGAAGAAGAGGAAGGGGAAGAGGAGAAGCAAGGGGAAAGGGAACAGCAAGGGGGAAGGGCAGGGGAGAGGGCAGGGGAGAGGGCAGGGGAGAATCAAGGGGAGAGGGAAGAGGAGAAGAGAGAAGGGGCAAGGAGCGGCAGGGGATGAAAAGGAGAAAGGCGCCAGTGCAGCAGAAAGCTTGGACGCCGACTTGAGTCGTATTGGCATGGAGGACCTGCTGGAAGGGAACAAGGGAGAAGAAGAGGAGGAACGGGAGGGGCAGGAGGAGCAGGAGGGACAGGGAGAAGGGGAGAGAGCAGCAGGAGGGGGAGGAGGAGATGGGGGAGTTATGGCAGGCAAAGGGAGCAGAGCTGGGCCGAGGGCTGCAGCTGCTGGTGCTGGTATTGGTGATGGTCGAGCATTTGGGGATGGTGGTGATGAGAGTGAGAGGAGTGCTGGGGCTGTTTCCTCTCAAGAGAGCGATAATAGTGGTGCTGCTGCTGCTGCTGCTGCTGGGAAGGGAACAGGCCTTGAGAGTGAGGAGGAAGGGAGCAGGCCTGGGGGAGGAGCAGAGAGAGCGTCTGAGGGGGAGGAAGAGGAGGGTGGAGAGGGGGAGGATGCTGCAAGGGGTGAAGGCAAGAATGATCGGCACGAGGAGGAGGAGGAGGAGGTAGGGGGAAGGAAGGAGAGCTTGGACGAGAACGCTGGGGAAGGGGGGATGATGTGGAGGGGGAGGAAGGAAGAAAGAGGGAGGCTAGGTTGGCAAAGAGTGAGGGGAGCATGAATAAAGGGGGTGAAGATTCAGGTGTTGAGGGTGCAAGGAAAGGGTCGGATGAGGACGAGGATGGTGAGGATGGTGAGGAGGGTGAGGGGGAGGGCGAGGAGGAGGAGGAGGAGGAGGTTGAGAAGAGGAGAGGCAAGGGGAAGGGGGATGGTGGGGAGAACGAGGACGAGCGTGACGAGGAAGGAACGGGTCCGATGCTTGGAAAGGTGGTGCCGGACCAGGGAAAGAAGACCCTTTCCCAGCCTCAGGTGGTTGCCATGAGGGGACGAGAACGGCGGGATGATGAGAGGAATCCTTATGCGGGTGAGCATGAGAAAGAAGATGGGGATAGGGATAGGGATAGGGACGGGGATGATGAGGCAGAGGTTGAGAAGGTAATGGTGCTGGTGGAGAGGGATGATGATGTGGCAGGTGCTGAGTGAGAATGGGAGGCTGATGGGAGCCTGGGTGGGAGGGACGAGAAGGAGGGCGCGGTGCAGTGCGGAGGATGCACTAAGATGCACCAGGCTCAGGGATGATCTGGTGCATAAGGAAAGTGAACGATAGCCGCAATGGGGAATCGGATGGGAGGTGGAAGGTAGGGGCAAGCGAGCGGAATGGAGTGCCTGCCCCCTGGAAAAAAAAGGGACGAAGTCATGAAGGGAGTGTGTGCGATGGTAAAAAAAGCTTGTGTTTGGACAGGCCAATGCGACGTATCGCTGATGCTTCAGTTAAAGCTACGGGCAAGCACAAATTTCAGAAGCTGAGAGCTGGGTGTGTCAAATGTAACTTAGGTCGTTACTGTAGACTATACTGGATTCTGCCTTAGAGGGTACAACACCCTAGTCTATATACACTTGTACTCACACATTCTAGCTCAATTATTCTTTTTGACATGGTATCATAGTAGGTTAGGTTCCCCCCTAGCCCGCCCACGCTTCCAACCCCTAGGCCCGAGCCACCGTCGTGCCCCGCTCCTAGCCGGCCCTCCTGGCCGTCGCGCTCGTCCCTAGCCGGCCCCCTGGCTGTCGCGTCCGCCCCTAGCTGGCCCCCTGGCCCTCGCGTACGTCCCTAGCCGGCCCCCTGGCCGTCGCGTCCGCCCCTAGCCGGCCCCCTGGCCGTCGCGTCCGCCCCTAGCCGGCCCCCTCGCCGTGCGCCCGTCCCTAGCCGGCCCCCTGGCCGTCGCGTCCGCCCCTAGCCGGCCCCCTCGCCGTTGTGTCCGTCCCTAGCCGGCCCCCCTGGCCGTCGCGTCCGCCCCTAGCCGGCCCCCTGGCCGTCGCGTCCGCCCCCAACCGGCCCCCTCGCCGTCGCGCCCGTCCCTAGCCGGCCCCCTGGCCGTCGCGCCCGTACCTAGCCGGCCCCCTGGCCGTCGCGCCCGTCCCTAGCCGGCCCCCTGGCCCTCGCGCTCGTCCCTAGCCGGCCCCCTGGCCCTCGCGCTCGTCCCTAGCCGGCCCCCTGGCCGTCGCGCCCGCCCCTAGCCGGACCCCTGGTTGTCGCGCCCGTCCCTAGCCGGCCCCCTGGCCGTCGCGTCCGCCCCTAGCCGCCCCCCTGGCCGTCGCGCCCGTCCCTAGCCGGCCCCCTGGCCGTCGCATCCGCCCCTAGCCGGCCCCCTGGCTGTCGCGTCCGCCCCTAGCCGGCCCCCAAGCCGTCACGCCCATCCCTAGCCGGCCCCCTGGCCTTCGCGTCCGCCCCTAGCCGGCTCCCTGGCCGTCGCGTCCGTCCCTAGCCGGCCCCCCTGGCCGTCGCGCCCGTCCCTAGTCGGCCCCCTGGCCGTCGCGCCCGTACCTAGCCGGCCCCCTGGCCGTCGCGCCCGTCCCTTGCCGGCCCCCTGGCCGTCTCGCTCGTCCATAGCCGGCCCCCTGGCTGTCGCGCTCGTCCCTAGCAGCCCCCCCCCCCTGGCTGTGGTACCCAATTCCTGCCGTCCCACGGCCACCCCTAGCCGTCTCACGGCCGCCCCCTCGCCGTCGCGGCCGTGTCTTCTCACCGTTGCGGCTGGCCCTACTCGCCGTCGCGCCAGCTCCTCGCCGGCCCCAGTGGCCGCCGTTTCCTGGCCCCTCGCGTCTGCCGTCCGCCATCCGGCTCCTGCATTCGCGTCGTCGCCAGCCAGCCGCCGCCTCGGGTTCGGCCCGTTCCTCTCGATCAGCACTGCCCTGCGAACCCCCCCGGTAACGTACTAGACCGCCTTGCACCGCACTGTACCGCACTGCACCGCAGTGTACCGCACTGCACCGCACTATACCGCACTACACCCAGTGCACCGCACAACATCGCACCGCACCACACTGTACCGCACTGCACTTACTGCACCGCACTGTACCGCACTGCGCCGCACTGCACCGCATTGTACTGCTCTCCACTGCCCTCTATTGTCTCTGATGGCGGAGGTGCTAAGCTTTGACGCTGAGGGCCAACCGATTCAGTTTGATGCGTGGCTTGCTGAGCTCCGTCGCCACCTCACTGGTCAGCGGCACGATGGCCACTCTCTGTCTGTCCATCTTGACGGTACTCTCCCCTGCCCTGACCCCCCCGCTGCACTGTCTCCTGATCTCTCGTCCGCTGAGCGTGAGTCCGCTGCGGCCGCTGCCCTTGCTCGCCTTGTCCGAGCGATCTTGCTTCAGGTGTATCACCACTGCCCAGGCTTTCCTAGATGCTGTTGTCCAGCGCTATTCCACCCCGCCTTTTGCCTCGGTCGGTCGTCTGATCCTCCCCATGCTCTTCTCTGACCTTGCGTCGTTCCCCACTGTCGCCGACCTGGCTACTCACCTGCGCACTATAGACGAGACCTGACGTGCTACCTACACTCCCACACAGCTTCTAGCCCACCAGCCGCCCCTCACCTCTACTCTCTACCTGCTAGCCACCCGCCTCCTTGACCGTCTTGCCACTGCTCGTGACTACTTCCTTAGCGTCCACCCCGCTGACCTCACCCTCACTGACTTTGTTGACACCCTGTCCGCTATAGAGGCCCGCCACCGCTCTATCGCTCAGACCAGCGGTACTGTGCCGGTCCCTATCTTTCAGGGTTGCGCCCCCGCTCGGTGCACCTTCTCTTATGGTTCTGTTGCTGTGACTGAGACCGCCGCTGCAGCACAAGTTCGTCCGGGGAAGGGTCGCCGCCCAAAGGCTGGGCGTGGCGGCGGGGGTGGGGGTGCAGGTGTAGGTGGTGCTGGAGCTAGGTCTCCTAGTGGTGGTGCGGACGAGGGGACCCTGCCTGGTGCAGCCGAGCAGCCGTCTCAGCAGCCGCCGGCGTTGCAGCCGGACTCCGTCAGCCGCAGTAGTTGCAGCAGTCGCAGCCGCAGCAGAGACAGGCGACTGGTCTCCCGCCCGGGTGGCCTGACGCTGGTGGTAGCGCTGGACGTGGTGGTGGTGAGCGTACTGGGCTGCCAGGTGATGGTTCGGTTGACGCGTGTTGTCTGTGCCTGCTCCAGACCAGTCCTCGCCGTGGCTTCGTTTGCGGTAAGATCGGTCACACCTCCGTCCGCTGTTTCCGTCACCTGGACGACCTGTTTCGTCAGCGCTTCGGCCCGTCGCCCGAGCTCCCAGACTGGCACAGTTTGCTTCGTCGTAGGGTTCAGATTTTTTATCTGGATCTGGATGAGATTGTTACGGCTCTGCATGTGATGTATGCTGATGACTCTAGTGTGCTTCCATTTAATTACCCCTTGTTGCCAAGTGTAGGTGTGCCTTGCTTAGACTCCCCTACTGCGTCAGGCGTAGGATCCCCTGCTTTTTTTAGCCTTGGTGCTTCCGTCACTGCTTCGTCTCCGGCCGCCATTGCCGCGCTCTCCTTCACCCTCGACTCTCGCGCTTCCCGGTGCTTCTTCCGCGACTCCACCACGTTGACACCGCTTCCTGTCCCTGCCGCAGTCTCTCTTGCTGACCCCTCTTCTGGCCCAGTAGTCGCTCGCAGTTCCACCACCCTCCCCTGCTCGGCGGTTCCTTTGGGCTCGCTCACAGGACTACACATCCCCTCGATCTCCAGGAACCAAGTTGGTGTCGGCTGCCTTCAGGACCTTGGCGTCACCACTACGTTCCCTGGATATGATCCGTACGCTGTCTGTACCGAGGCCGCCACTCGTGCCCCCCTGTCCACGTTCCCACGGGACCCGGTGTCCGGTCTTTTCACACCGGACACGGTGACCCCCCTGGCTTGGACCCCCCCTCAGGTGACTGCGTCTGCCCCGGTTGCTGCTGCCTGCTCCTGTCGGTCTCTCACTCACCCGACTCTTCTCTTGCACCACAGCCTAAGTTACCCTACGCTCCCTCACATGTCACAGCACGGTCTCGTCCTAGGCCTCCTCGGGTCGTTCCCCGAGTTTCCCTCCTCCCCAGCCCCACCTTGCACGCCCTGTGTCAAGGGCCGGCTCCGTCGTGCCCCTCACTCCTCCTCGTTTTCCCCTACTGCAGCACCGCTACAGACTCTGCATATGGACGTCTAGGGCCCCGCCCCCGTCCATGGGCCGCGTCGAGAGCGCTACTTCCTAGTACTTGTCGACGACTACACGCACTACACCTCTGTGTTCCCCTTGGAGCGGAAGGCCGACGTGCCTCCCGTTCTTATCCCGTGGCTTGTCTCTGCGCGTGTCCACCGCGCTCTCCTTGTCTTGCGTCTCCACTCCGACCATGGTGGCGAGTTTGCCTAAGGTGTCCTTGGTCGTTTCTGTCGTGCGGAGGGCATCACCCAGACGTTCACCTTGCCGGACTCCCCACAGCAGAAGGGGGTCACTAAGCGACGCATCGGTTTGGTCATGGAGGTGGCTCGCACCTCCATGATCCATGCCGGGGCACCCCATCTTCTGTGGCCGTTCGCCGTTCGCTACGCCGCTCACCAGCTTAACCTGTGGCCGCACCCCCAACAGCCTCAGGTTTCGCCGACCCTCCTCTGGACCGCGTCACCTGGTGACGCGTCTGCGTTCCATGTCTAGGGCTGCCTTGCTCACGTTCGTGCCTCTGGCACGGACAAGCTTACTGCCCGCACCCTTCCCTGTGTCTTCCTCGGCTTCCCCCTTGACGCGTCTGACTGGCACTTCTACCACCCGCCGTCTCACCGGTTCTTTCACTCCCGTGACACCACCTTTGACGAGTTCGTCTCCTTCTTCCGCCGCTTCCCCCACCGAGGTCCCTCGGTTACCCCCCCCCCTGTTCCTGGTCACCCCTTCCCCGGTCGTCGCCGCCCCTCCTCCTCCCCCTCCCCGTCCTGCCCCCTCTGGTGTGTCCCACGTCACCCCACTTACGTCGGTTGTCCCGGTTGAGGAGTCTGCTGACTCTGGTGGTCCTGCGGCGCAGTCCTCGCCGCCTGCCCCTTCTCAGGTGTCTCCTCCTCCGCCGCCTTCCGCAGCCGCCATTGCCACCGCTGTCGCAGCCGTCGTCACTGCCGCCGCCGCCGCCGCAGCCGTCGTTGCAGCCGCCGCCGCCGCAGCCGTCGCCGCAGCAGCTGGTTGCCTCTAGGGGTGCTGGCGTGGAGTGTTCTGGAGGTAGCCGCCAGGCAGCTTGCGGTCCCGGCCGCAGCAGTCCCCGCCGGTGTCCGCTCTTCGCCTGCTCAGCCTTCCGTCCCCTGACCCCGTACTTGTGCCTCCTCCTCCTCCTGTCTACGGCCCTGTGTTCCCTCCTCCGGACTCGTCTCCGGCACGTATTCCCCCTCGTTCCCCTCTTGTGTCCTCTCCTCTGTCCCCTGACCCGACTCCTCTGTCTCACGTCTGATCTCGCCGTCCTTCCCGTGCTCGAGCTGTCTCCCCTGTCTCGTGCTCTCACCCTATGTTGCTTCGTTCCCACGCGTCTCGTCCTCCCCGTCTCCCGTCGCCCCCTCCGTCGTTACTTGTCGTTGCTTCCCCCCCTCTGTCTGACTACCTGCATACCGCTCGTCCTCTTGTTCTT